ATGTGTTCTACTGGCTGCGTGTGTGAGAGAAGGCTGTGCCGAGGACCAGCTTCTCTCATCCGACCATCCCCCGTCCTCCTCCTCATCTCCCTGACTGTCTGTGCTGCCTGGAATCCCTTCACTGTGGAGGAATCTTCTGCTGTCCCCGTGAATCTGCCTGGCTGGATCTATCCCCTGCCTGGACTTAACCCCTTGCTCTCCGTGAACCTGCTTGGACTTAACCCTTCCCTGTCTGGAGCCTCCTGTGTGGATTTACCCTGTGGATTACCATACCCCTGTTGTTCCATATTGCCTTCCAGAGAACTGTACTGTGCTGCTGTGTCTGGTGTGGATCTATGGACTAAAGGAACTGTTGTCTGTGCCCCAAAAACCTCCCCAATAAAAGCACGTTGGGTTCCGTGCAATCTGTCTCTGTGTGCTCTCTGGTTCTCGTGACATATATATACTGTATATATATATATATATATATACAGTAAATATATATAAATATATATAAATATATTGAATGCGGCCAAAATTGTAGTATTTCAAATATGTGTCAATGTATGTGGGAAGAATATTTTTAAAATATATTTTAAATATATTTTTCTTCCATGTGTGTAATAAATATATTTTTGGACTCTTTTTATCCTTTGGAGTGGTGCTCCTTCCATTAGTGCTTATATATTGTTTTTACAAACTAGACCCTGTGTGCTATATGTCCTGATCCCTGTAGAACAGCACATACATGAAAGAGATCCTAGGTAGTCATGGATATTTTGAGGAACACATAGATACCTCAATAACACTGATATAAAAAACCAAATAATTTTATTTTTTACATGTACAGTGTCTTGAAAAAGGATTCCTACCCCTTAAAATGCCCCCCATGTTGTCATGTTACAACTAAAAATGTAAATGTATTTTATTGGGATTGGATGTGATAGACCAACACAAAGTGGCACATAATTATGAAGTGAAAGGAAAATGAGAAATGGTTTTCATCATTTGTGACAAATAAATCTGTGAAAAGTGTGGCGGCATTTGTATTCGGCCCCCCGGAGTCAATACTTTGTAGGACCCCCTTTGGCTGCAATTCCAGCTGCAAGTCTTTTTGGGGATGTCTCTCCCAGCTTTGCACATCTAGAGAGGGACATTTCTGCCCATTCTTCTTTGCAGAATCGCTCAAGCTCTGTCAGATTGGATGGAGAGCGTATGGGAACAGCAATTTTCAAATCTTGCCACAGATTCTCCATTGGATTTCGGTCTGGACTGTGACTGGGCCATTCTAACACATGAATATGATTTGATCTGAACCATTCCATTGTAGCTCTGGCTGGATATTTCGGGTCGTTGTCATGCTGGAAGGGGAACCTCTGCCCCGGTCTCAAGTCTTGCAGACTCTAACAGGTTTTCTTCTAAGATTGCCCTGTATTTGGCTCCATCCATTTTCCCATCAACTCTGACCAGCTTCCCTGTCCCTGCTGAAGAAAAGCATCCTCACAACATGATGCTGCCACCACCATGTTTCAAAATGGGGATGGTGTGTTCAGGGTGATGTGCAGTGTTAGTTTTCTGCCACACATACCATTTTGCTTTTAGGCCAAATAGTTAAATTTTGGTCTCATCAGACCAGAGCCCCTTCTTCCACATGTTTGCTGTGTCCCCCACATGGCTTCTTGCAAACTGCAAACAGGACTTCTTATGGCTTTCTTTCAACAATGGCTTTCTTCTTGCCACTCTTCTATAAAGGCAGATTTGTAGAGTGCATGACTAATAGTTGTCCTGTGGACAAATTCTCCCCCCTGAGCTGTGGATCTCTGCAGCTCCTCCACAGTTCCCATGGGCCTCTTGGCTGCTTCTCTGATGAATGCTGTCCTTGCCCGGCCTTCAGTTTAGGTGGACGGCCATGTCTTGGTAGCTTCTGGCAGGACAACGAACCTAACCATATAACCAGAGCTACAATGGAATGGTTTAGATCAAAGCATATTCATGTGTTAAAATGGCCCAGTCAAAGTCCAGACCTAAAACCAAATGAGAATCTGTGGCAAGACTTGAAAACTGCTGTTCCCAGACACCTTCCATCCAATCTGACAGAGCTTGAGGTATTTTGCTAAGAAGAATGGGCAAACATTTAACTCTCTAGAGGTACAATGCTGGGAGAGACATACAGTTTGTCTTTATGTATGTCTGTAAATATGTATTTTTGGTTCACAAAGATGTAATGATCTTCCTCAGGAGTACATGTGAAAGGAATCGATACGATGGAACCCAGTTTTCTTATTTAGAACCACAAAAGTACAATAGCAGCTGGAATCCACATCATGTGAAAGAGCGGCCAACAAAGTGGATCCTGAAGAAGCTCTTTTTAAGCAAAACATGTCAATCCACCTGTCTTCTCTCATAACTGAGTAATACACTCACCGAACACTTTATTAGGTCCACCTGTTCAATGCTTGGTAACACAAATTGCTAATCAGCCAATCACTTGGCAGAAACTCAATACATTTAGGCATCTAGACGTGGTGAAGACGACTTGCTGAAGTTCAAACCGAGCATCAGAATGGGGAAGAAAGGAATGTGGCATAGTTTTTGGTTCCAGACAGGTTGATATTTCAAAAACTGCTGATATACTGGGATTTTCACTCACAAGCCATCTCTAGGGTTTACAGAAAGTGGTTCGAAAAAGAGAAAATATCCAGTGAGTGGCAGTTGTGTGGATGAAAATGCCTTGTTGATGTCAGAGTTCAGAGGAGAATGGGTAGACTGGTACGAGATGATAGCAAGGCAACAGTAACTCAAATAACCACTCGTTACATCCAAGGTATGCAGAATACCATCTCTGAACGCACAGCATGTCAAACCTTGAAGCAGAAGGCTACAGCAGTAGAAGACCACACCGGGTGCCACTCATGTCAGCTAAGAACAGGAAATGGAGGCTACAATTTGCACAGGATCACCAAAATTGGACAATAGAAGTTGATTGAGTCTCGATTCAGCTGCGACATTCAGATGGTAGGGTCAGAATTTGGCATAAACAACATGAAAGCATGGATCCATCCTGCTTCGTATCATTGGGTCATGGATGTGCAGCTGACAAATCTTCAGCCGCAGATCCACAGTGTGGGAGAGGAAGAGATCGTCCTCCTTACCCAGCGGCAGATCCACAGTCCAGGAAAGGAGGTGGTCATCCTCCCACCCAAGCGGCAGATTCACAGACTGGAAGAGGAGGTGGTGACTGCAGATTCACAGACTGGAAGAGGAGGTGGTGATCCTTCCTCCCAAGCGGCAGATTCACAGACTGGAAGAGGAGGTGGTTATCCTCCCTCCCAAGCGGCTGATTCACAGACTGGAAAAGGAGGCGGTTATCCTCCCTTGCCAGTAGCAGTGTAAGGAACTCAGGACCAACGGAAGTCCTCCTCACTCCACAGCAGGGGTCTGGGAGTCCAAGAGATTAAGCAACCGGATCATCACCCCAGTGACATTTCCAGTCTGGGAGAGATTGTGGCTGTCCTTCCTCCACAACAGTCATCCGGAGTTGAGGAAACTGTCTTACCTCCTCAGCAAGGATCTGTGCACCTGGGAGACCAGACAAATGTCATCCCAGCAGCCAGATGAGGGTATGGGAGATGGAGCAGCAAGCTCATTTCCCCAGCGGCAGTTCATGGACACGGGAGCAAAGGAAGTCATCCTTGTTCCACAGCAGGAGTCTTGGAGTCCAGGATATGGAGCAACTGTCTCATCTACCCAGCGGCAGTTCCGCAGTCCCCCCACTGACACCAGTAATGGGGCACCATTCCTCCAGCTGACACCAGTGATGGGGCACCATTCCTCCAGCTGACACCAATGATGAGGCACTATTCCTCCCCCTAATACCAATGATGGGGCCCTATTCCTCCCACTGACACTAATGATAGGGCCCTATTCCTCCCACTGACACCAGTGATGGGGCACCACTCCTCCCACTGACACCAATTATGGGGCACTATTCCTCCCACTGACATCAATGATGGAGCACTATTCCTCCCTCAGATACTAATGATGGGGCCCTATTCCTCCCACTGACACGGATAATGGGCACTATTCCTCTCACTGATACCAATGATGGAGCACTATTCCTCTGACTAATACCAATGATAGGGCACTATTCCTCCCACTGACACCAATGATGGGGCACTATTCCTCCCCCAATACCAATGATAGTGCCCTAATCCTCCCACTGACACCAGTGATGGGGCACTATTCCTCCCACTGACAACAATGATGAGGCACTATTCCTCCCCCTAATACCAATGATGGGGCCCCATTCCTCTCACTGACATTAATGATAGGGCCCTATTCCTCCCACTGACACCAGTGATGGGGCACCATTCCTCCCGCTGACACCAATTATGGGGCACTATTCCTCCCACTGACATCAATGATGGGGCACTATTCCTCCCACAGACCTGGAAGGTCCAAGCACCATAAGAGAATTGGGGCAGGGAAAACTCAGCCATGAGGATGGGACAGTAAGAGCAGAGGCTCTTAAAGTACATGAGGTTGAGATAAAAAGGAGGGCCACAGCCTCAATCTAAAACCCTAGAACACAGGTGTCAAACTGGTGGCCCTCTAGCTGTTGCCAAACTACAAGTCCCATGAGGCATTGCAAGATTGACAGTTACCAGCATGACTCCCAAAGGTAGACGCATGATGGGACTTGTAGCTTCGCAACAGCTGGAGGTCTGCTGGTTTGACACCCGTGCACTAGAACCTAGCACCACCAACACCAGAAGAAGAAGAAAACACCACGGAGAGAAGACGGGATATTTACTTGTAGCTGTAGGACTCAGGAGAGAGTGTCTGTGCAAATAGATGGACATTTTGTGTAGTACAAAGGGTAATTTTACCTAGCTAGTAGCCAGGCTAGGACCTATGCTAAGATGGTACTGTCCCAACAGAGAATAATTTAATAAAAAACTGAATATTTGTTGCAAAACCAGTGTAAACTTACATCCTTTACATTTGGAGAGTCCGTGGAAGGTCATCATACAAAGGGTACAAAAAGCATACTGACAGCTTGAGCAAATACCCATTGTGCCCCCTGGTTCTTGCATTACTGGGGTCTGACAGCTCAGACGAGGGCAATAAACCACATCAGTCATCAAGTCCAAAGTAGATTTCAAGAGGAGACGATCATAGCGGCTGAACAATTCTTCTCCAACCAGCTTCTTTACCTGCAAAGGACACAAATTTACATTTTTATGGATGTTAATGAGAATTGTTTTTGGGCTCTACATTTGCACTATTCACAAAATAATAAAGCCCAACTCTGGGCAGGACAAAAAAACTTCCCTTGCAGTGGGACCCTCCGGCTACAGCAGAGTTACTGCCCCCCCCTCCCACCCCACAGCCTCTTCTCTAAGATGTTCAAGTCAACAGTCGCACAATGATGTCATCATATACAACTCAGGGCCAATAACCCTGCAATGCATGTGAGGACAGCAAAGAACAACTCCGAGCAGACCAGGGTGCCTGAGGTCTTCCCGAGTGTGGAATAGGGTAAGTATTACATTTTTTTCTCTATCCCTTGACTTAAAAGCGGAGTTCCACTCGACCTATCAAAAAATAAAAGTCAGCAGCTACAAAAACTGTAGCTGCTGACTTTTAAAAAACAGCCACTTACCTGTCCCTCGTTCCCGCGGTGTGTCCCCCGCAGCTCGTTTCACCGGCTGTCCTGGAGGCCGGCATCTTCAGTGTGGCACCGGCTGTGATAGCTTGGGTACCCACTGCGCATGCGTGAGTAGCACTGCGCTCCATGAATGGTCTTGTAGTCTTCTGGGACGGTCACGTGTCCTAAAAGACTACAGGGAGGGAGGACACCTTCTGCTTCCGATCGCCTAGGAGATTGGACCGGAAGTGGGAGCGGGTACCTGTCAAATTCGGGTACCCGCTCCCCAAAGGTGCCAATCCTTAATGGGGAGCGGGGGAGCAGCCCTTAAAGCAGAACTTCCCCTTTTGGGTGGAGCTCCGCTTTAATGAACATTTAACTCTTGTAGTGTGGGAATTGGGGGTTGGGCTCCCTTACCACTGGTGGTCAGTTTTGAAAAAATTGCTGTTTTCTTTAATGGTTATTGAGAAGAATGATCCTTAGATTGGTATCCAGTGGGAAGAATACTCCTTCAAATGGTAGTCAGAAGAATGTATATATACCTAAAAAGATCATGGATGTCAGTGGTTACTTGCTTAAAAGATTGAAATTGCTGACTGCTCAAGGAACCCCCTAGCAATCTCTAGAGGAACCCTAGGGATTCCACAAAACCCTAGTTGGGAAAGGCTGTCCTAGAGCATTCACAGTGTGGTCAGAATGGAGCCATGTAGCAACACTCATGTGATCTAATGCTTACAGTGCCCCTAACTCCCTTACTAGACCACCCACCAGGAGTAGATTACAGAGCGTGCTTAATCCTCCATTGCAGAGATACTCAAGGATGTTACAGGATACGAGATACAGTGACAGTTCTCTATGCATCCATTGTGCTTTGCTATGTGACCATAGACTACATGGCCAAACACAAGAACAAGAAGGGTGGGCGTCATTGCACTAGTCCTATTGCTTCTATTCAGCACCACATCTTGAATTTTCTCTACTCATTGGGCTTTAACAACCAGTCTCAGCTCATAAGCCACCATGAATTGATGTCTGCATGGTTAGCTTGTAAACAGGTGCTTACAATTGTCGCTACTGTATTAGATAGGTATCCCAGGCTGACCTGGTAGGAAGAGGTTGGGCCAAGTTGTGTATTTTCCTGGTCTTTTCTGGACCCTGCCCTCCACCCTGTGCTGCTAATAAATAGGGGAAGGCTCAGCTCAGGGGCCCCCTGCCGTGACCTGCATGGGAAGAAGAAGAGAAGCGCAACCTGAAGATGTAGTCACCAGCAACAGACGGAGCACCCTTTAGGGAAATCCACCACCTGGACAGAACTCTTCCATACTTTGAACTACCACCTTAGGAAGGTATTGGGCAACCTATAACTAGTTAGTCAGGGGAAAGACTGATGTTGCACTTTTGGACTGTATCTTTGAATAAGTTCAGTAAAGTCTTTTAGCCATTCATTGCCTGGTTTGAAGTCACTACAAAGGAGTGCATAGTGGTACATGGTGTATAGCAAAGAACTGGGCCTGTTACACACACGGGGTGAAGAGGAGAGCATTTCATTGCTGGGATAACCAGCACAGGGGAATGCTATGGCAGCCAGACAGCGGGAGGATGGTACCAGCAAGTCTGATGGGTTCCCTCACTAGTGGTCAGTACTCCAGTTAACTGGGACAGAATCTGCGTGGCAAAAAGGGACTAGGGACCTAGAGGTACAGACAGGGGCGGACTGACAACTCATGAGGCCCCCGGGCAATAGGGGATCATGGGGCCCCTGTGTCCTCACCCATACCCAAAAAAGCCTACGAAAAAGACAATGAAAGGTACCAGGGGCATCTCATGGGGCCCCCTACTGACCCCGGGCCCTCGGGCAGTGCCCGGGTGCTCAATTGGTCAGTCCGCCCCTGGGTACAGAAGAAGTTAACCTAGTCAAGTCTTAAACACAGGAGGGTTCAGGCGGGTACATGGCAGAACCCATACATTATCAATGGGAGTAAGATGATAGGAAAACTGGACTGGTGGAACAGAATGCAGGCTCAGCTCCGTTCCCTTCAACATGTCATATTCCATAAAGGCGTGTACGTGTTATGGGACAGTGGGACTCATTCTGCAAAGCCTTGAATTACGATACAGGTGCACCAGGTGTATGGCTCACTCCTAATATGGGGTGCCGCCTTAACGTTGAGTTCATATGAACGTGGCCATGCTCGCTCCCAGGCATTAGTGAGCATGTACCCCGGGGAGAGAGAGGAGGCCCAATGCACAAGGCAGGTAGGCCCACAAGCTAAATATGGAGCCTGCAAAAAATGAAATGAACAAGAGGTTACCTGGGCAGGTGTAGCAACTGATGTGCACTTGGGCTCCGGACAATTAAGTGCACGGACCTGTCCATCTCTGATTTGAACTTCAAAATAGTCCCTCAGGCAGCTATCACAGTAAACATGGCTGCAGTCCTTAAAATACGTACATTCATTGCCTAGCTTCTCAGAGAAACATATATTGCATAGGAACAGTTTGCTGTCAAAACATTTCTTCTGTTGGCTCTCATCAAAGTCCAATATGTGTCTGATGAGGTCATACACTGATAGGACATCTTGTATAGCCCGTCTGTCAACTGTTTCCTCTTCAGGCGTGGCAGCGGCAATGCAGAGGCTCGCTTCCTCTTTGACCTGCTTCAATGTTCCATTATCGGTAAACTGGATCTCATAAGGTGATCTTATATTTAAGTACTCAAGGGTTTCTTCTTTAAGAAACTGCATCCAAGCAAACAAAACGACACTTCCCCTGTTCTCCTCCCATAGAACGTCTAACCGCTGGCACATAAGCGTAAGCTGAAATATTAAGTACAAAAGGGTTAGAATTTATTTATTTTTATTGGGAAATTTTCCAAAGTCTTAACACAGAATACTAATAAAACACATGGTTTTGGAGTTCAGCTTAACAATGGAGTCTTACAATGAATGTGCAAACTATATGAAACCAGACTATTGGTCAGGGGCAAAGCAGGAAGTATAAGGATACTATAACCACCTGACCTCCGGAAGATTTTACTGCCTTCATGACCAGGCCATTTTTAGCTATTCAGCACTGCTCTACTTTAACTGGCAATTGCACGGTCATGTGAAATATGAATCGGTATCCTATAATTATTGTAACGGAAACGGACCCCGACTGCTATTTCCACTCCCGCTTCCCTGTCCGAACACAGATCCACGGACGCCACCGCTGACCATACAGGACGAGACAGCACCAGAGTTGTATTAAAATAGGAAATGGACTGCTTTATTTTAACACAGATACAAGATATATACACAGGGTGGGGCAATACATTTAGTAACAAGAGACACATCAGCAGACAACCCCATCAGGGGGAAGGGCTGCCGGAAACACCCCCCACCAAGCCAATACACATAGACACATTCCATAATAGTTTGCTCCCAAGCAAGACACACAATAGAACAATGGGACAACCACATGGCATTAAATAATGAACAACTCCCACACCCCACCTATACATGTCTACACGATATCAGGACATTCCACCCTGTACCCCTAACAGGCACAGGGTGACTTACACATAAGAGGGATATGGGGAGCTGAGACAGGGGTCCAAGGGCCCCCCACCCAAAGTCACTCCCGTCACAATTATATACTCTATAAAATTAATATAAAATAAACTCCCCCTGTAACTTACACTAAAAAGTCCCACTTTTACCCTTGAAAGTCCAAAACAATTATATAAACCTTTCCAGTGTCCGTGAAATTATACAAAATGTAAAAAACCCCAAAACCAAAGTCCAAAGAATTTTTCTCCAATTTCTGATTTAAATTCACCGTGTAATTCCAATGATTGCCATGTACCTCAAAACAAAGAAAAACTCAATAGTCTATTGTCCTCAATAAATAATAATGAATTCATGAATAATAAATATTAAATCAAACCAGAAATTGCTACTTATTTCTGTGCAAGCAAACAAAACACACAAACCGTGAAAACACTTGTGATAGTGAAATACTATGTGAGAACTTTTATATACAGTCAGGTCCATAAATATTGGGACATCGACACAATTCTAACATTTTTGGCTCTATACACCACCACAATGGATTTGAAATGAAACGAACAAGATGTGCTTTAACTGCAGACTGTCAGCTTTAATTTTGAGGGTATTTACATCCAAATCAGGTGAACGGTGTAGGAATTACAACAGTTTGCATATGTGACTCCCACTTGTTAAGGGACCAAAAGTAATGGGACAATTGGCTGCTCAGCTGTTCCATGGCCAGGTGTGTGTTATTCACTCATTATCCCAATTACAATGAGCAGATAAAAGGTCCAGAGTTAATTTCAAGTGTGCTATTTGCATTTGGAATCTGTTCTTGTCAACTCTCAAGATGAGATGCAAAGAGCTGTCACTATCAGTGAAGCCATCATTAGGCTGAAAAAACAAAACAAACCCATCAGAGAGATAGCAAAAACATTAGGCGTGGCCAAAACAACTGTTTGGAACATTCTTAAAAAGAAGGAACGCACCGGTGAGCTCAGCAACACCAAAAGACCCGGAAGACCACGGAAAACAACTGTGGTGGATGACCGAGAGAATTCTTTCCTTGGTGAAGAAAACACCCTTCACAACAGTTGGCCAGATCAAGAACACTCTCCAGGAGGTAGGTGTATGTGTGTCAAAGTCAACAATCAAGAGAAGACTTCACCAGAGTGAATACAGAGGGTTCACCCCAAGATCTAAACCATTGGTGAGCCTCAAAAACAGGAAGACCAGATTAGAGTTTGCCAAACGACATCTAAAAAAGCCTTCACAGTTCTGGAACAACATCCTATGGACAGATGAGACCGACATCAACTTGTACCAGAGTGATGGAAGAGAAGAGTATGGAGAAGGAAAGGAACTGCTCATGATCCTAAGCATACCACCTCATCAGTGAAGCATGGTGGTGGTAGTGTCATGGCGTGGGCATGTATGGCTGCCAATGGAACTGGTTCTCTTGTATTTAATGATGATGTGACTGCTGACAAAAGCAGCCGGATGAATTCTGAAGTGTTTCGGGAATATTATCGGCTCATATTCAGCCAAATGCTTCACAACCCATTGGACGCTTCACAGTGCAGATGGACAATGACCCAAAGCAGACTGCAAAAGCAACCAAAGAGTTTTTTAAGGGAAAGAAGTGGAATGTTATGCAATGGCCAAGTCAATCACCTGACCTGAATCCGATTGAGCATTTCACTTGCTGAAGACAAAACTGAAGGGAAAATGCCCCAAGAACAAGCAGGAACTGAAGACAGTTGCAGTAGAGACCTGGCAGAGCATCACCAGGGATGAAACCCAGCGTCTGGTGATGTCTATGCGTTCCACACTTCAGGCTGTAATTGACTGCAAAGGATTTGCAACCAAGTATTAAAAAGTGAAAGTTTGATTTATGATTATTATTCTGTCCCATTACTTTTGGTCCCTTAACAAGTGGGAGGCGCATATGCAAACTGTTGTAATTCCTACACCGTTCACCTGATTTGGATGTAAATACCCTCAAATTAAAGCTGACAGTCTGCAGTTAAAGCACATCTTGTTTGTTTCATTTCAAATCCATTGTGGTGGTGTATAGAGCCAAAAATGTTAGAATTGTGTCCATGTCCCAATATTTATGGACCTGACTGTATATACTCTTCCATGAACACTCGGTGTACACATCTAAGTGGCTGAATCACATACCCTTACCCTAATAAAATAATAAACCAGCCTTTTAGAATCCAGAAATCCAGAAAGAAATAGTGATCCACTGAAACCTTGCTCCAATCACCACAGGGATACCTTCTGATCCCAAAATGTTCAATCCAATACTCTTGCCTTCTTATACTCCATGTTATTCAGAGAAAGAAAAAATAGCCATAGAGTGAAGTATGTTTCGATACTATAAAGATCCAAGCTTTAATAATTGTGCTTACATATAAAAAAAACCTTAAAATCGCATATTATTCCCATAACTCCACCTCAAGCAGCTTCCTGGAATGCCAAATGTGGTAAACCTCACTAAAGATGGCCGCTCCGCCACTTCCAGTTTTCCACGCAACATCCAACGTCCCTTCAAAAATTCTTTGGACTTTGTTTTGGGTTTTTTTATGTTTTGTATAATTGCACGGTCATGCAGCACTGTACAAAATAACATTTATATAATTTTTTTCATACATATAGAGCTTTCTTTTGCTGATATTTAATCACCACTGAGGTGTTTATCTTTTGTTATATACAGTTGCAAGAAAAAGTATGTGAACCCCTTGGGATTACGTGGAGTTTTGCATGAATTGGGCATAAAATGTGCTCTGAACGTCATCTAAGTCACAACAATAGAAGAACACAGTCTGCTGAACATAATACTACACAAACATTAGATGTTGCCATGGTTTAATTGCACATAACATGTAAACATTCACAGTGCAGGGAGGAAAAAGTATGTGAGGCCCTAGCTTAATGACTTCTCCCAGAGCTAATTGGAGCCAGGAGTGAGCCAACCTTGACTCCAATCAGTGTGATGATATTGGATGTGTTGCTGACAGCTGTCCTGCCCTTAAAAAACACACACCTGTTTTGGGTTTACTGGTTTCAAGAAGCACTGTCTGATGTGAACCATGCCTCGCAGAAAAGAGCTCTCAGAAGACCTACGATCAAGAATTGTTGACTTGCATGAAGCTGGAAAGGGTTACAAAAGTATCTCCAAAAGCCTTGATGTTCATGTGTCCACGGTAAGACAGACTGTCTACAAATTGAGAAAGTTTAGCACTGTTGCTACTCTCCCTAGGCGTGGTCGTCCTGTAAAAATGACTGCAAGAGCACAGCGCAGAATGCTGCATGAGGTAAAGAAGAATCCCAGAGTGTCAGCTAAAGACCTACAGAAATCTCTGGCACATGCTAACATTTTTGTTGACACATCTACAATAAGGAAAACATTAAACAAGAATGGAGTACATGGGAGGACACCACGGAGGAAGCCATTGCTGTCCAAAAAGAATATTGCAGCACATTTGAAGTTTGCAAAAGAGCACCTGGATGTTCCACAGCACTACTGTCAGAATGTACTGTGGGCAGATGAAACCAAGATTGAGTTGTTTGGGAAAAACACACAACACTATGTGTGGAGAAAAAAAGGCACAGCACACCAACATCAAAACCTCATCCCCACTGTGAAACATGGCGGAGGGAGCATCATGGTTTGAGGCTGCTTTGCTGCCTCAGGGTCTGGACGGATTGTTGTCATTGATGGGAAAATGAGTTCCAGAGTTTATCAAGACATTTTGCAGGAAAACGTACAACCATCTGTCCGCCAACTGAAGCTCCGCAGAGGATGGGTGATGCAACAGGACAATGACCCAAAGCATACAAGTAATTCAACAAAACAATGGCTGCAACAGCACAGAATACGCCTTCTGGAGTGGCCCAGTCAGAGTTCTGACCTCAACCCGATTGAAATGCTGTGGCATGACCTTAAGAGAGCGATTCACACCAGACATCCCAAGAATATTGCTATACTGAAATAGTTTTGTGAAGAGGGGTGGTCCAAAATGACTCCAGATCGTTGTGCAGGTCTGATCTGCAACTACAGGAAACGTTTGGTTGAGGTTATTGCTGCCAAAGGATGGTCAACCAGTTATTATGTCCAAAGGCTCACATACTTTTTCCTCCCTGCACTGTGAATGTTTACATGTTATTTGCAATTAAACCATGGCAACATCTAATGTTTGTGTAGTATTATGTTCAGCAGACTGTGTTCTTCTATTGTTGTGACTTAGATGACGTTCAGAGCACATTTTATGCCCAATTCATGCAAAACTCCACGTAATCCCACGGGGTTCACATACTTTTTCTTGCAACTGTAAATGAAAAAATACCAAATATTTTGAAAAAAAAACCCACGTCTTTCTTAGTTTCTGTTATAACATTTTGCAAATAACTAAACTTTCATCATAAATTTAAGCCAAAATGTATTTTACTACATTTATTTGGTAAAAAAAAAAAACCCTCAAATCTGTGTATATTATTTAGTCTGTAGGAAAGTTATAGAGTCTACAAACCATGGGATATATATTTGAGAATTGATCAATCCTAATGTACTGATGGATGATCTCATTTCTTGAAGCCCTAAAATACCAAGACAGTACAAGTAACCCCCCCACCCCAAATGATCCCTTTTTGGAAAGTAGACAGTCCAGGTTATTTAGTAAGAGGCATGGCGAGTTTTTTTGAAGTTTTAATTTTTTTCACAATATTTTGGAACATGAAGAAATTTGTTTTTTTTTTTACAGTTTTTTCTAACATTCTATTACCAGTGCAGTACAGTGTCATCATATGACTGGTGTGGGGGTGAGCAGGGGTACTGACTGGTGACAATATGTCAAATAAAAAAATAAATAAATACATAACTAAATCTATCAATACATATTTGTTATTACATTTTTTAGAATTGTTTTCTTTTTTTAACATTTTTTTTACATACTTTTTTTCAGAGTAGGTTACTATAGTGACACTCTACTACTCTGGGGAAGGAAAGAGAAATCACTAAATTGTACCCTCAGCATTACACAGCATGGATCAAGGAGTCTTCTCTGGCAGCTATTGTATTTTTAACAGTCAGCACCTGCAGCTGTCTGAATAGGATAGGATACAGGTGATGTTTGTCCATCAATTTACCATTTGGCCAATTCCTGTGCTCTCTGCCTGAGTGATTGTGGAGAGATGTCTGGGGGAAGATGAGGAGAGGTTATGGAGATGAGGATTGGGGGGTAGGGGAAATGGGACAATGGGAGTTATGGGATTAGGATAGGGAGAGATGAGGTTGGGTTATAGAAATGAGGATGGAACGAGATGTGGATGGGTTATGGAGATGAGATTGGGGTTATGGAAATGAGGATTGGGAGAGACAAGAATGGGATTAGGAAGATGAAAATGGGGTAGGAGATGAGGAGGGGCTATAGGATTAGGATGGGGAAAGGTGAGGATAGGTTATGGAGATGAATATGGAGGGAGATGAGGATGGGTTATGAAGATGGGGATTAGGAGAGACATGAATAAGATTATGGGGGTAAAAGTTGGGAAGGAGATGAGAGGCTATAGGATTAGGGTGGGGAGAGATAAAGAAAGGTTATGAAGATGAGGATGGACAGAGATGAGGATGGAGTTATGGACATGAGGATTGGGAGGGATGAGAATATGATTCTGGAGATGGAAATGGGGGAGAAGAAGAGGGGGGTTATGGAGAAAAGGTTGGGTGGTAAATGAGGAGCGGTTATGGGATTAGGATGGGGAGAGATGGGGATTATGGAGATGATGGAGGATGGGTTAAAGAGATGAGGATGGAGTTATGGGGATGAGGATCGAGAGATTATGGAGATGCAAATGGGGGAGGAGACAGACACCATTTCCGTGCCACAAGTTACTCTTCATCTTCTGGTTCCACTCACTCTCATTGGTCCAAGCTCAAATCACGTAAGGATCCTAATGGGACACCACCTGGAAGAAGACCAATGCAAGAAGCAAACCAAGACGAGAAGGACCCAGCACAGGATGATCACATGATTAAGTGAAAATAGGGATTTATGAAGGTTTCTTTTTTCTTAACCCAGCAATCAGAGAAAAGATAGGAACGGGAGTTGGGCTTTAAAGGATAAGTCTTGCGTCTGATCATAAGGATCTCTCCCTTCCCCAACCCAAATACCTACTTACCTGAATCTGATAGCCATGAGAATGAGTTATAGAGATGATGATGATCGGAGATGAGGAGCGGTTATACAGAAGAATATAATGGAAGGAGGAGATGAGGTCTGTGTCCTTTATAATGCATCAGAAATAAAGAAATCAGGGTTGACACCATATGCTTAGGAATTTGGAGCCAAAAATACCCTGTGTTGTCATATCAAAGGAAGGAGCACACTATATTTCTGCCACATCAACGCTTGTTTTTATCCACTTGCTGCATATTTAAAATGATAATACATGGGGATATTGAGATTATACGAATGAATAGGTTACCTGTTCTGGTGAAAGCCAGTTGCAGCTGAGTGTGAAGATGGGACACGTAGTGGAGGGGTATCCAGGAGGAAACTCAAAGTCCAGGACAATTGGTGGTAGAAAGGAAACCGTGTTCTCAAAGCTTTCCACCATGGCGTTTGATGCAGAGTTGGCTAATGACAATAAAAATGAAAAGGTTTCATATGAAGGGTTGTCTTATTTGGTTGCAGTCTGCCTGAAAAATTCTGCTCAACAATATGCAGATCATAGTTACATAGTTATATAGTTACATAGTTATTCTGGCTTAAAAATGACAAAAGTCCATCCAGTTCAACCATTAAAAAAAAAAAAAAGTTATATTCCTACACCCACAGTTGATCCAGAGGAAGGCAAAAAAAAACAGCAAAACATGATCCAATTTGCTCCTGCAGGGGAAAAAAAATTCCTTCCTGATCCCCCGAGAGGCAATCGGATATTCCCTGGATCAACTTTCCCTATAAATGTAATATCCAGTTATATTCTGTGTATCCAAGAAAGAATCCAGGACTTTCCTACAGCAATCCACTGAGCTGGCCACAACCAACTCTTGAGGGAGTCTATTCCACATTTTCACAGCTCTTACTGTGAAGAAACCTTTCCGTGTTTGGAGATTACATTTCTTTTCCTCCAGATGTAAAGAACGCCCCCTTGTCCTCTGTGATGACCTCAGGATGAATAACTACACCGAGTTCACTATATGAAACCACTGATGTATTTATACATGGAGATCATATCCCCCCTTATGTATTATACATGGTGATCATATCCCCCCTTATGTATTATACATGGAGATCATATCCCCCCTTATGTATTATACATGGAGATCATATCCCCCCTTATGTATTATACATGGAGATCATATCCCCCCTTATGTATTATACATGGAATATCATATCCCCCCTTATGTATTATACATGGAGATCATATCCCCCCTTATGTATTATACATGGTGATCATTTCCCCCCTTATGTATTATACATGGAGATCATATCCCCCCTTATGTATTATACATGTTGATCACATCCCCCCCCCCTTATGTATTATACATGTTGATCATATCCCCCCTTATGTATTATACATGGAGATCATACCCCCCCTTATGTATTATACATGGAGATCATATCCCCCCCCTTATGTATTATACATGGAGATCATATCCCCCCTATGTATTATACATGTTGATCATATCCCCCCTTATGTATTATACATGGAGATCATATCCCCTCTTATGTATTATACATGGAGATCATATCCCCCCTTATGTATTATACATGGAGATCATATCCCCCCCCTTATGTATTATACATGGTGATCATATCCCCCCTAATGTATTATACATAGAGATCATATCCCCCTTATGTATTATACATGGAGATCATATCCCCCTTATGTATATACATGGAGATCATATCCCCCTTATGTATTATACATGGAGATCATATCCCCCTTATGTATTATACATGGAGATCATATCCCCCCTTATGTATTATACATGGAGATCATATCCCCCCCTTATGTATTATACATGGTGATCATATCCCCCCCCTAATGTATTATTGTATTATACATGGAGATCATATCCCCCCTTATGTATTATACATGGAGATCATATCCCCCCTTATGTATTATACATGGAGATCATATCCCCCCTTATGTATTATACATGGAGATCATATCCCCCCTTATGTATTATACATGGAGATCATATCCCCCTTATGTATTATACATGATGATCATATCCCCCTTATGTATTATACATGGAGATCATATCCCCCCCTTATGTATTATACATGGAGATCATATCCCCCCTTATGTATTATACATGGAGATCATATCCCCCCCTTATGTATTATACATGGAGATCATATTTCCCCCCTTATGTATTATACATGGAGATCATATCCCCCCTTATGTATTATACATGGAGATCATATCCCCCCTTATGTATTATACATGTTGATCATATCCCCCTTATGTATTATACATGGAGATCATATCCCCCCCCTTATGTATTATACATGGAGATCATATCCCCCCCCCCCTTATGTATTATACATGGAGATCATATCCCCCCTTATGTATTATACAGTTGATCATATCCCCCCTTATGTATTATACATGGAGATCATATCCCCCCTTATGTATTATACATGGAGATCATATCCCCCTTATGTATTATACATGGAGATCATATCCCCTCTTATGTATTATACATGGAGATCATATCCCCCCCTTATGTATTATACATGGTGATCATATCCCCCCTAATGTATTATACATGGAGATCATATCCCCCCTTATGTATTATACATGGAGTATTATACATAGAGATCATATCCCCCCCCTTATGTATTATACATGGAGATCATATCCCTCCTTATGTATTATACATGGAGATCATATCCCCCCTTATGTATTATACATGGAGATCATATCCTCCTTATGTATTATACATGGAGATCTTATGTATTATACATGGTGATCCCCCTTATGTATTATACATGGAGATCATATCCCCCCTTATGTATTATACATGGAGATCATATCCCCCCTTATGTATTATACATGGAGATCATATCCCCTTATGTATTATACATGGAGATCATATCCCCCCTTATGTATTATACATGGTGGAGATCATATCCCCCCTTATGTATTATACATGGAGATCATATCCCCCCTTATGTATTATACATGGAGATCATATCCCCCTTATGATACATGGAGATCATATCCCCCCCTTATGTATTATACATGGAGATCATATCCCCCCTTATGTATTATACACATGGAGATCATATCCCCCTTATGTATTATACATGGAGATCATATCCCCCCCTTATGTATTATACATGGAGATCATATCCCCCCTTATGTATATACATGGAGATCATATCCCCCCCTTATGTATTATACATGGAGATCATATCCCCCTTATGTATTATACATGGAGATCATATCCCCCCCTTATGTATTATACATGGAGATCATATCCCCCCCTTATGTATTATACATGGAGATCATATCCCCCCCCTTATGTATTATACATGGAGATCATATCCCCCCTTATGTATTATACATGGAGATCATATCCCCCCCTTATGTATTATACATGGAGATCATATCCCCCCCTTATGTATTATACATGGAGATCATATATCCCCCTTATGTATTATACATGGAGATCATATCCCCCTTATGTATTATACATGGAGATCATATCCCCCCTTATGTATTATACATGGAGATCATATCCCCCTTATGTATTATACATGGAGATCATATCCCCCCCCTTATGTATTATACATGGAGATCATATCCCCCCCTTATGTATTATACATGGAGATCATATCCCCCCTTATGTATTTATACATGGAGATCCCCCCTTATGTATTATACATGGAGATCATATCCCCCCCTTATGTATTATACATGGAGATCATATCCCCCCCTTATGTATCATACACGGAGATCATATCCCCCCTTAATCTCCTCTTCTCAGTAGAGAATAAATTCAGTTCCTCTAATCTTTCCTCATAGCTGAGCTCCTCCATTCCTCTTATCAGTTTGGTTGCCCTTCTCTGTACTTTCTCCAGTTCCCCAATGTTCTTTTTGTGAATTGGAGCCCAAAACTGAACTGCATATTCCAGATGAGGTCTTACTAATGATTTGTACCGGGGAAATCATATCTCTCTCTCTCTGGAGTCTATACCTCTCCTAATACAAGAGTGGATTTTGCTCACTTAAGAAACCGCAGCTTGGGATTGCATGTCATTATTAACCTATGATCTACCAGAACTCCCAGGTCCTTCTCCACCATTGACCCCCCCCCCCCAGTTGTACCCCCCCCCCCCCGAGTATGTATGATGAATGTATATTCTTAGCCCCCAAGTGCATATCCTTACATTAATCAACATTAAATCTCATTTGCCACATAGTCTGCCCAATTATACATATGTTGTCAATCTATGAATGGTGTAGTGCTCATCCCTCAGCCCGCTGTTTTGGTCCCAAAGTTATTTCCCCAGTAAGTACACAAGCAGCCAGCCACACAGTCTCAGTCACTGTTCTGGCTCAATGATCAGTCTATGGGATCTATGCTTTTTTGAAAACTTGAACTTGGATGGGTGCAGGGTAACCGTGGAATACTCCAGTGAGGTTAGAAAGTAAGGGCTCATTTACACTTGCTTCAAAATGTGGCATTGGACACTTTTATTTAGAGCACTCCGAATGTCAATCAAAGCATCTGTCATTAAATGGTAAGCTTACAGTCCTGTTTACACATTGTCTTTGCTTCGCTTCAAAAATTTTTACCCTTTATCTCCTTCTTGATGCTTCAAAGTATCTCCAACACCTCCACAGAAGTCTATGAAAACGTTTGCTTACAGCACCTTCTGCATTTGAGAGGCTTTTTATTTAGTCTTAGCTATGCTTTGTTTTGTAGGTATTGCAGTAATGAGATATCCCAGGATACACTGGGAGACCAACAAAAGAACAAGAAAGACATCATCAGCAGTTACTTCTGATTCATGTGGCACTCAACCAGAGCACGACCATGGTGGTCAGTTGTAGTGCTCCTTACACTGGAAGCCAGTGTAGTGTCCCCTTACATTGCAAGTCATTAGAGAATGTGCCCCCTTTACATTGGTGGTCAGAGTTGCTCCCCTTTTTTTTCTGGTGGTCAATTGAAAAGTGCACTTTTATATCAATGGTAAGACTAGAAGTGCCCCCCTTTTATTAGTGATGAGTGCAGTTCTCCCTTTCATTAATGGTCAGTAGGAGGAGGTACTCCTTACAATGGTGAGAGGTTCCCTTCTCCCACTCAACTAAAACGATCATTGGTATCAGGTGTTGGTGGTTATTTACTTGGGAGAGGACGCTCACCTCGGCATGTACCAATGGCTCTGCCAATGGAAGTTGGTGCCAGACCTTTGCAGGCAATGCCAGGTGCGACTAAGTCCATCATTGCTCGGTGAACCCCTAGCAACATCGGGAAGAACCATAGTATGGAAAGGTTGCTATATACAATTAAAGAGTGGCTCTATTGTGGTCAAAAATCTTTCTAATTTGTTTCTGCATACCAGCCTTGAGGTTGATACATGTGTTAGAAAACATATTCTAGACATGTTATATGGGATTATGTGACTTACATTTAACAGATATTCTAAAGTTTGGTGGAAGTTCCAGACACACTTGGATTTCCCCTCCCGGAGCAGTGTCAGATCTATTAAACTCATCTTCAGGGTATATACTGCTAAGAGCCAGCAGTTCATCCTCCTGGGCTTCCTGATTCTCGCGGGACATTGGTTATCTGTGGAGGTCATAAAACATAGTTAATCATTTCAGTCAAGTATGAACACACTATCCGATGCATACCAAACAGTTCACCATTGGGTTTAAAGTGCAAACAGCAAATCTTCCTTCAAGGTTAAATACTTGTTGGGTTTAGGGGTGGAGGAATAAGCTGTAACATAAATTGTATTACTCGATTCATTAGCCTTACCTTACGCCGTGTGACTGATCCCCCGCAATGTCTTCTCTAAGGCCCTCCTGCCAGCGTGTAGGCAGGTGCAGGTTATCCTCCCCTCTGTAGAAGGCACTGTATTGTTGACCGCTGTACAGTGGGAATGGAGGATGAGAGGAACTTCATTCCTCTGCAGCCTCTATAGGTATCACCAGGGAAGCGGTGGTCCAACTGGACACTGCAACACTGGAGGACCTTTGCGGCCATCTTTGGTGAGGGCACTGCTAATAAATATTACTAAATATTAATATTAAATATAAAGATACCAAAGAGGGGAAAAATAGGATTAAAAAAGTAATAGAAATGAAGATTATAAAGGAAAGGATGAGAAAAAATATAATGATGTGTGGAAAAAGAGAATATTGTATGTAGAAAGAGAGGGAGGTTGCAGGAGAGGAGGCCGGGGGGGGGGGGGATATAGAGCATGCCATGGTGTGGCAGATGTGTAGAAATGAAAAGGAAGGGCGAAGTGAGGTGTGGAAGATGTATGGATGGCAGGATACTTTATTATCGGTCTGTGGGTATAGGTAGATGTAGGGACTTGGTGGAAGGACATGGAGAGGTGGTGAGGGGGGCAGGGGGGTGAGGAATTAACTATAGTATGGTGGGAAATTCCAATTCCTCATTGAGGCCTCCAGGAGCCAGTGTGTGAAGGGTATATAACCAGAAAGTCTCTCCTTGGCAGAGGCATTTGAAGTGCTTTGCTTCGGGGGGCCTTTGGGGATGGTTTCTATAACCCATACTCTCATGTGGTCTAAGGATTGCGAGTGAAACTCCAAGAAATGTTTTGGGATGTTGAGTTTGTCGTCATCTACTGAGCGTCTGTGCTCACCGAATCTTTAGCGAAGTGTGTTTATGGTGTGACTGACATACAGAAGGGCAGGATATACAGTATATGAGGAATTCAGAGGAACAGTTGTAGGTACAATTGTAGTAGGTTTTGCCTTTGGGTGGTGAATTCTTTTTGTCCATGTAGGACGTATTTGAAAGTTAGGCATTTGGTTTTTTTTTTGCATTGGTACATGCCTACGATGGACAGAAAGGTGGGTATGGGGTTGGTGTTGAGTTTTTTGGCGGTTTTTAGTTGGCTGGTGGCTTGTTTGCTTTTAATATTCCTAGCCTGTCTTTAGGAGAATTTTGGGTTAGTTGGATGGAAGTTTTGAGGTGTGGGTCATCAATGAGTATACTCCAATGTTTACATAAAATGTGTTCCATTTTGCGGTGGTGGGTGTGGAACTGTGTGGTGAAGCATAGTGGTCTGGAGTTGGGGTTGTTGGCGTTGGGCAGAGGGTCTTGGGCTGGGGGGGTGGTTAGGTAGAGGGAATATGCTTTTTGGACCAGTGGTTCAGGACAGCCTTTTTCCAGAAATTTTTGTTTGAGCTGGGCAGTGTAGTCCTCCTTACATGTAAAATTGTGTTTGTGTCTGCAGAATTGGCTTTTTGGGAAATTGTTTATCCATCTGGGGTTATGGCAACTCTGAAAGTGCAGAAATTAGTTGCCAGCCGTAGGTTTGGTATAAATTTTTGCATAGATGGAGGTGTTGGTGTGGCAAAGTTAAAGGTCTAGGACTGCTAGAGTGTTGGGGTCACAGACGGATGTGAAGGATAGACCAAGCTGATTAGAGTTGGTGTAAGTTAGAAAGGATTCGGCTTCATCTTGTGTGCCATCCCAGATGATGACAATGCCATCTATATAACGACTGAAATAGATGAGATGTTTGGCAAAGGGTTTATGATTCCATATGGATTGGTGTTCCCATAGGCCCATGGTGAGGTTTGTGTAACTGGGAGCAAAACTAGCTCCCATGGCCATGCCTTGTAGTAGTTGCCGTCAAACTGGACGTAGTCGTGGGATAAGCAGAAGTGTGTGGCGTCCAGGATAAATTGGGCCTGTTTGTGGTTAATTGTGGGATCTAATGACAGAAAATGTTGTAGGGCTCTGAGTCTCACTTAGTGGGGGATAGATGTGTATATTGATGTGACATCTAAGGAGAGCCAAAGGTGGGAAGATTCCCATGAGTAGTGTTGGGGGTTGTCTAAGAGATGAATTCTGTTGCAGATATATGCTGGGAGGTTTTGGGTCAGAGGTTGGAGGAATTGTATATCTAAGGAAGATGGTAGAAGTATTGCGTGGAGTAATAGTCTGTATTAAAGAAGTCAAATTCTGTGTGGTTTATGACGCCTTCTGCTAAGGCGATTTGTAGAAGGGTGGAGGCTTACATATGAAATTTGGGCAAAGGGTCTGTAGAGAGACGGTTATAGGTCATGTGGGCCGATAGTAGTCTGTATGTTTCTGATATGTAGTCAGTTATGTTTTGGATTACGATGCCACCTCCTTCGTCGGCTGGTTTAATGATGATGCCCGTGTTGTTGGACAATTTGGTGAGTGAGTTCTCTTCGTCATGGGTTAAGTTGGGGGAGATGTAAGGAGCAGAGGGGCTTTGTTTGCACATCCGTAAGATGCTGGTGTATACTACTTGGTAGAATGTTTTGACGTATGGGCCTTTATTGTGAATGGGGTTGAATAGGGATTTGGGTCTGAAGTTGGTGTGCTGTATGGGGGGGAGATGAGCAGAGATGTTGGGTGAGGGTACATAAAGGTCCCCATCGTGGGAATAGAGGTCCTCAAGAGTAGTTAGTGCCTCAATGTCTGATGGGTGTATGTTGTCCTCAGCAGAATACGAGCTGTCAGACGGGGCGGGTGGATTGGGGGCTGTTGGGTGCAAGGGTCTTCCTTAAGGGCTTGGATATTAAAAAAAACATTTTACTGTTAGATTCTTAATGAATCTATTGAGGTCCATGAATAAGGTAAAGGGATTGGAAAGGGCGATGGGGGCAAAAGTCAGTACTCTACTGAGTAATGATATGTCATCACTATCTAATGTGTGTGTGGAGAGATTGTATATTTTCACAGTCTGAGCTGTATTTTTCTTTTTGTTTTTTGCACCCCCCCCCCCTCCGGCCTCTTCTAGTCTTCTTTTTAAGGAGGTTAGGGGGGGGTTTTTGCTAAAAAGGGCATTTTGGGGGATGTAAGTGCAGGTGACCCCAACACTCTAGCATTCCTAGACCTAGAACTCTGCCACACCAACACTTCCACCTATGCAAAAAAATTATACCAAACCTACGGCCGGCAACTCATTTCTGCACCTCCAGAGTTGCCATCACTTCAGATGGATAAACAATACCTCTCCATGTCCTTACACCCAGCCCAGGGGTGGACTGACCATTTGGAAACTCGGGCACTGCCCGAGGGCCCGGGGTCAGTAGGGGGCCCCATGAGATGCCCCTGGTACCTTTTTTCATAGGCTTTTTTGAGTTTGGGCAAGGACACAGGGGCCCCATGATCCCCTATTGCCCGGGGGCCCCATGAGTTGTCAGTCCGCCCCTGACCCAGCCCCTATATTTACCTATACCCACAGGCCGATAATAAAGTATCCCGCCATCCATGCATCTTCCACACCTCACGTCACCCTTCCTTTTCGTTACTAGACATCTGCCACACCATGGCATGCTCTATATTCCCCGCCCTCCTCTCCTGCAACCTCCCTCTCTTCCTACATACAATATTCCCTTTTTCTACACATCATTATATTTTTTTTTCTCATCCTTTCCTTCATAATCTCCATTTCTATCACTTTTTTTTAATCCTATTTTTAATCATTTTGTTATTTTTATTTTTTTATGTTTATTTTTCATTTCATTTTTATTTCTATTCCATTTCCATTGTTATAACCATCTTTCATTACCTTATATTTATTTTATTTTGCATTTATTATTTTTTTATTTATTATTCATTATTTTTTATTTTTCATTCCCCCCCATTTTTCTGTATATTGTAAATATTTGTTTCCACCCACCCCCAGTTTTATACCACCGTATCCATATTTTTTTCATTATATATTTTTTTTATTTTTCTAAGGTTTTTATTTTCCAAGGTTTCCTTTATCTCCCCCTCACTTTTCCCCCCAGCCACCAACTTCTGCTGGGAGTATTACTGGCATATCCTTTTTAGTTTCATGTGTATATATCCTTGTCTTTTATGCATGTCATTTAAGCTTTGCAATCCCCTGATCCGGCATTCTTAGTGTTAATCATGGCACCACCCCCCGCTCGCCGTGTGACTTCATTGACTGATCAGCCCCATCTACCGGCTTTGCCCATATAAACACTAAGATGGCCGCCAGAACGGCCTGACGAAGGTGCGAGCATGCTTCCAACTCTTGGAAACCCGTCCAATGTGGTGACATCATCCCTGCGAGCAAGGGCAGACTGACAACTCATGGGGCCCCCGGGCAATAGAGGATCATGGGGCCCCTGTGTCCTTGGCCAAACTCAAAAAAGCCTATGAAAAAGGTACCAGGGGCATCTCATGGGGCCCCCTACTGACCCCGTTTCCAAATGGACAGTCCGCCCCTGCCTGCGAGCCTCCCTGCACCCTTCTGCTACTCCCCGTGCCCTGGACACCACGGGAGCGGTGGGAAAACACCCAGAGTGTGGCCAGAGGACCTGATGCTCCCGCTGGACCTCCATCACTTGACATGCCTACCTGTTACCTACCTATAGTGGTGCTGCTGTCTCTCTTCTCTACCAGAGTAGGAGAGAGGCTGGGCAGATTGAGAGAGAGAAAAATACATTTTAATGATTAAAAAAAACAAACAAACACTAGATATACCCCAATTCTTGATGTTACGCCGAGTAAATAGATACCCAACATGTCATGCTTTAAAATTGCGCATGCAATGTAGTCCATACTACTACAAGCCCCCCCACTAAAGACGGAC